AATAAAGAACCAGAAGGTGAAAGTGACTTACTACCTGATAGTCTTTCAAATATAGAAGAGTTACAGGCTCTGAATCCAGATACTCTAGAGGTAAAGATAATTATTCTTTTAACACTTGTGTTTGTGAGCTTCTATGTAAAAGGCAGTTTGCTGTAGAACTAATATTCTGAACCTAAATTTATATATGTAATATTAAGTTTATATATATAATGTTAAATTTATATATATAATATTAAATTTATATGTATATATATGTATATATATATATATATATATATATATATATATATATATATATATATATATATATATATATATATATATATATATATATATATATATATATATATATATATATATATATATATATGGATATACATTCTTAAAATATTAACAGTATGTTATAAACTCTCTTTAACAGTTTTCTGTGTTGATCTTTTTTCTACTAAAATTGCTATATTTTTGATCACCTAGAACAGGCAGCTGATCCTGAATCTGATCTCACTTCTGGTTCAGATTGGGGCTTGTAGTGGCTTGTGAACTCCAACAAAACTCAGTTATTTACTGCTAACAGCTATTGCAAAGCTGTCAACATTCCTTCATTAATAAACGGCAATCCCCCTCCCACTGATTCCCAGGCCTTGTTTTAAATAAAAACCACTTAGCATATTAGCTCATTGTGATTTTAATGTTTTTATTTAAGGACATTTAAGGAATTTATTTTATTTAAGGAATAAAATAAATTACTGCAAAACAAGTTTATTTTACAAATTAAGAAAAATAAATTTAGAAGTGTTATTTTATAAATTTACATATTGTGAAATGTCTATTTTGTTTCAAATTTTTTTGTTTTGTTTTTTATTATTAAATAATTATATTTGATGTTACATTTTTTATTATCATTTCACATAAATTATTTTCTTTCTATTCTTTAGATTGGTATAAATACTTAAAATATGTTAATTTTTAACTTCAAAAAAGTTAACAAACAAAAAATATAACTGCTGCAAAGAAAAAAACTTAAGCTAATTACTTTGCCAGGGCAAAGTAATTAGCTTAAGTTTTGCCATTTTTTTTTTTTTTTTTTATGTGACAAACAAAGATTAAAGTTTCCAAGTACCATTTATTAAAAAGTATATACGGTTGTACTTTCGCCTTAAAGTGATCCCAAACCTCTGAGACATGTTGTGTTCATATTAAAGAGAATGACAAAAAAAATGTTTAGGCAACATTTTTTTGATTAAAACAAAAGAATAAATGCATACCAGGAAAAACTAACTTTTTTATTTTAGTCTAAGCTTGCCTTTTTCGTTTTAAGGTTGGCCCAAAAGTCAGTATAACATATGCCTCAATCTATAGTCTTGATAATTTATTTTAAGGTGTTTTATTCCTTAGAGTTTCAGTACATGATGTCATTGATTTTCTTTTGTTTGTGTAAAAGATTGATTATGCAAACAAACAAAAAAATAAATGATGTCATGTACTGAAACTCTTAGGAATAAAACATGCTTAAATAAATTATCAAGTCTGTAGATTGCGGTATATATTATGCTAACATTTTGGCCTTCAACAAAACAGAGGTGAGCTTTGGCTAAAAAGAAAAGTTAGTTTTTCTTGGTATGTATTTATTCTTCTGTTTTAATCAAAAAAATTTAGCCTAAACTTTTTTTTAATCATTCTCTTCAATGAACACTACATGTCTCAAATGTCTTAAAAGTACGCTTTATGAATATTTTTGATGTAGTGTTATAAGTTATAACATGTTTACAAGGATATTAATTTGTTTGTAAAAAATAGAATGGGAGGAAGAAAAATCAAGAAAAAAAAAATCTAGTTTTTTTAAATTAACTTTTTTATCAAAATTAATTTTAAATTATAAGGAAATTTTTGTTTTCACTTTTTTCATATCGCACAATCTTTTAATTATATAAAGCTGGTGTAACTATTGTAATTTATTATTATTTTTAATTATTTTTTGCAAAATAAAACTTATAAATATAAACGAAAACATTGCAAGAGCTTTATTGCTTCAAGCATAAATTCAAGCAGAAAAATTAATATTTATATTAATTATATATCCATAAAGGAAGTTTTTTTTAATTAGCAAAAAATTAACTTTTTATAAGATGTCGTTTAAAGTTTGTAATATTTAATGTTTTTTCTTTTTTCTTTGATAAAATCAGTTATAAGAAAGTAAACAAACAAAAATTAAAAGTAATGCTAATATAAAATAAAATTTAACGTGTACTATTTTTTGAATGTCTAAAATTGCTCTTGCAAGATGATAAATAAAAGTTTTTTTAATGTTTCTTTTATGATTTCTTTTTTTTAAGCATTGTGTTGCATCTTTTTCTCTTTTGTCGAACATTTTTGATGGAAATGTTAGAATAAATAAAAATAAAATTTTCTTTGTTTTCTTAACTTATTACATTTGTAAATAGCGATAATATCAAACGTAATTTTTATGCAAACATTTTTACATAATCATCCTTCAAACTTTTTTTATAACGTTAATTATTTCTTTTATTTTAACGTTTAAACGATATCTTTAGACTTGTTTAAGTATTAAAAAATGATAAAAAGTAGATTAAGTGAAATGGCTAAGCGCGTACATAAATGGCGCTCCAGTTTATGCTTTAAAACAAGGCCTGAATTCCTTATCTTTACATCTTCTTCAAGGGTTGAATTAAGTGATCGCAAAAAAATTAAGTGATTGCAAAATTAAGTGGTCTTGAAAATTTTGGTTTATGCAAAACAATGTACTTTGTTTTCAAGGAGCAAGTTATTATAAGTTTGTTAGCTAAAAAGTTATAAAAAACAAAACAAAACAATAAACTTATGACTACAAAAGTAACACTCTTGTCACTAACTGCATTATAAAAGTAATAAAAATATAATAGTGTTATTACTTTTATAAAGCACTTAACTTTTAAAGTTCATCTTTGTTCAAACAACATTAATAATTCCAAATTTTAATTAAATTAGAAAAGCATCTAGAAAAGATAAAGTGGATATTCAAATATTATTAAAAATTTCAGGAACTTTTACAAATACACTTGAACAACTTTATAAAATGTACTGTATAAAAAGTTTAACATTATGAAAAATGTTACTGTTAAGTGCGTTATAAAAGTAATAAAACTATTACAGTGTTATTACTTTTATAATGCAGTTAGTTACTAGTGTGTTATTACTTTTGTAGTCATAAGTTTATTGTTTTATTTTTTATAATTTTTTCGCTAACAAATTTAAGTTGATTCGTCCCTTGAAAACAAAGAACACAGTTTGTCTGGGAAGTAGTGAAAAATTCCGCAAGATTCTGCTAACAAAAAGTTGGACACATAACCCAACCTCCTCCCTCTGGTGTCTTGAGCCCTGGAAACAAATTTAACATGCACATTCATCGGCCCTATAGAATACCATAAGTTTCAGAGCTATGGGTAGTCTGGAAAGTAGTGAAAAATCAATATTCAAGATCATTAATCATAGAATGATGTGTAAGAATTTTTTTATATCAAGACAACATGGGTTTCTTGAACATCGAAATCATGTATATAACGAATTGCCTGAATTGATTTAAATTGATAAATACAGGTACTTAATAATAATTTTAAATCATTTCATTAGATTAATCACCCATGAAAATAGCCTGGCATAAATTTTCTAGTAAAAAGATCAAATATTTTTGAAATTATGTAACTTGAAAACTCTAAATAAACATTGTAATTTTTAGGGGACAAAAAGGGTCTTACCAATATCTACTAATTGTAAAATGATCATAGGGTCATTCCATATAAGATGAGCTAACCCTTTAAGGGTGACCATTTCAGATTTTCCTGAAATTTACACCTTTTATAGGTTTTATGGAGAGAAAAAATTCCTCAAAATTTCAACTCATTATCTTGAAGCATTCTAAAATTATGGCAATTTAAAAAAATAATATTATAGCCTATTTCAAGCAATTTATTGTCTTTTTCAAAAAAGTCTCGTTTTTAAATCCATATAAATAAAAAACCAATTATCTTAAATACTTAAAAATCAATCTGATAGCAGTAATCAACCTCAACTTTTGAAAAACTAAAAATTTATTTTATAAAAATAAGTTTTTAAAAAAAAAACACTTTAAAGAAAAAATTTCAATATTAATAAAGCAAGTGAAAGCGGAATACATAAGCAAATGTGTAAGTGATGTTATTTTGTGAGAATATAGGTGGTAGTCATCATTCATGATAAGTTTTGTAACATTTGGTTCAAATTTATAGAAGTTAAACCCCCATAAAAAAGCCTCCAACCTAAAATTGGTAAAATTAGGTTCATTTTAGATCTCAAAGTTACACAGGTGTCCAGTAAATTTAACACTTGAAACTTTTAGGAATGTATCTTCAATATAAGAAGAAATACAGAAAAAATAATTTTAGGATGTCTTGTAGCTGCTGAGATATCTGAACTTAAACTTTCTATCATAATAGGATTCTGGAATTCAAAATCGGGCGTTTTGAACCAGAGTTTTACTAAACCTTTATTGCCATAAAACTTTGTTTACTCAAATGGTTAGCGAAAGAGTTATTCAAAGCTTCATGGAGGAAGAAGAAAAAAAGCTTGCAGATAGATGTGATATAGCTTTAAATGACTGTAGTTTTATATGTTTCTATCCCAGGCAAAAAGACAAATGTAAGGTTCCTGTTGTGAATGTTTTGCAAAAGTAAATACTCTGGTTGCACTATGTCAATCAGCAAGAAGCTATTAAATTTCTGAGCCAGAATTTGAAGAAATATCGTTAAGTTTTGAAATGTTTAACACAAATATTTAGACTATTATTTTGAAAATAATTCTTTATTATTTTATATTTTACATTCTTCTATTGTAATTGAGATTTGTTTCTTTGGTTTTTTTTTGAGTTTCCAATTTATTCATGTATTGGAAAAATATAAGCCTTAAGGTACAGATACCTTTATTTTAAAATTCCTTGTTTAAAAAAGAATAAATTTAAAGAAAATCTGACATGGTTACCCAAGAAATTTTGGAAAAAATGGCTTATCTTATATGGAATGACCCCATATTTCTAGATCTTTTTAAAGGTAGAGGCTAGA